TATATATATATATATATATATATATATATGGTTCACTATTAGAGCTACCCGAGTGTCCTGTTGGATCTTCTTTATCGCTTGAATGCGGCAGTGAAGCATCGGTGTTGAACACTGATGTCATGCTGTCGATGATGATGATGATGATGATTATCGCTTGAAACTGTGCAACTTCTACGGTGGTGACGATCGTTTGGCTTATTGTGACTTATTCGTACTACTTTTCCTCCACTTCCCCAAATTTTGTCCCAATCAATAAATCCGTTTACATAGGATAAGGAAACAAAGGGAAACAGCCAGTATCCGGCCCTGCCATTGGTGATCGCAAGACATCTACAATGACATTGTTAATTTGGTAATTAGGTTGTGTTATGGGGTTCACACGTGTGTGTCTGTTTATTAAGTGCCTCCGCAGCAAAATTTGCTCCACATGGACTTTCGGGTCATTTGTGGTGAGCAGTGGTTGCAAGGAATTTACACGTCAGCTACATGGTGCCGTTTCCATATGGTCACAATGAATGTGAAGGCGACTGAATGTGTTATCATCTGGTGTGGGCTGTTGACAGTTGTGTTGGTTCTTGCTGGGATCTCAGGCCTTAGTCAGACTTGGCAGGTGATGGCTCCAAGTACTTTATGTAAATCCAACGTTGTTTTCGCGCGCTTGCCCTTCTACGCAGCATGTAGCCACCCACCCACAGTCGAGTTACATTGGGATATTCCGCACGTCACTTTTAGGTTTATGCGGACATGACCACGGCTGAAAATCACGAATTTGGATAAAATCGATGTTTTTGTTGGATTCGCCTGTCGATAAAACAGAAACATCGCGTACTAGTTTCTTCGTTGTACCGTCTGTTTTAATATACCTCATTTGGATATGTATCGAAGACCACTACTCATTGTCAACGCGGAAAAAAACAATGACTGAATCAAACTCTTTCTGGTTTAGGCCGCTTGTTTTCACTGTTTTTTGTTCTTTTGAGTACTGACTGTTTACCTCCTCCATTGTATCTCAAACTTTTTTCATTGATTTTCTGTTTGTGTGTTTCTACTGCCGTTCGCCACACTCTGGATCACATGTGCTTCGATTTACATTTCGTTCACCCACTTGGGATGGAGTGATCCATTAAAAGAGTTTGAGTTGAACTCCGACTTTTTACCAATCGCCTCCTTGCTACCAGTTCCCGCCGTATTTACAGTCACATAAAGACGTTGATTTCACGACTCCCGGATGCTCCAAGTGTGACTTCCCGGAGCTCAGGCCTAATTTCCCGATCGGAATTTTCCAATCCACAACTTTGCTGCCTAGCCTAGTACGCTCCTGTTGTTTATCCTCCCTGGTGGTTCACTTGTGGTGTACTCCTCCCAACTCAGTGGTTCGATTATGAACCCAGTACTCTATCTACTTATCAGTTTTGCAGTAGCTCTTTTAGTTATTCTTAGGGCCATTATGAAGCAATTCGTCTGTATGTCCCGCCCATCCCAACACTTTGGAACTTTCGGGTGCTGCGTTGGTCTATGTGATACATTTAAATTCATCATCCTGGCAAGTAACCGGATCGATGCGTTTGATTGACTGACTGACTGTCGATTATAGCCAATAATAGGGCTAATCGTTACCTGATTGACTTCCACAACTGTATTGTGTCGCTCAGACTGTGATTCACCAGAATTTTAGTCCGCTGACCAGTTTACTACTAGGATACACTCGCTTCGTCCATACGTAGTCTTTGGACGGATGGCTAACATACTTTCGCTAAACCAGTCTGGTTCGCCTCATCCTAATCTCTCCCCACTGACCTAATTGTTTAACACGTCCAGACGTGTACTGTGTAATAGGTGAGTCATTGTTCGTGCTGCCGTTATGACTGGTGTCCTGTTTTCCATATTTCGTTGACACGGTCAGGAGACTAGGCGCCACGGCTATTGCGGTCCAACATCTGCGCTGTTCTACCACGGCACACAGTCGGTCTAGCAACACTTTACACGACCGTGTGTAGGCTTTCACACAACGGGCACTTCTGATTTGGAGTTGAATTCAAGCGGTGAACGTGACGCAGTGCTGTGATTTGTCAACCGCAAATGGTCGTTCGTTACTTCTGCGCCCACTGAGACTATTGATTTGATCTAATGAAATTTTCAGTGAAATTGTTAGCTTGCCAAAGCTCAGTATGAAGTGTGTGTCGGAACACAAAATCATAGGCGACTACTCTGTGGCAATGTCCAGTCATCCGGAGAAACCCACCAGGTATGCCATCTGTGCTTATCTGGAGCTTTCAAACAGCCATTCTAAAGTTTATGAGTAGGCTATAGCAGATTTTCGGTAGGAAGCCCAAGCAGGCCAGGGGTCGAACCTGTGTCCTTCTGGTTACCGAACCAAACTAGGCTACCGCGAACGCATCTCTGCACATCACATGTGGTTCTGTGTGATTCCTGATGCATCTGCACGATAGGATATTCCTCCAACCAACAATGTGCCATTGCATTCATCGTTTGGTTTCACAAGCCACAAGTCCCCCGTCTCGTGTGTTCATTCAAGGTTCCCTACAGCCGTCGTTAATTGAATGGGCGATGAGTGTGAGAGCCTTTCCAGTTTACTTCTGAAGGTTACACTTTCTCCCGAGGTATCTTTCAATTGCTCTCCATGTAACTTACATCAGGGGGTCGAGATGGCTCAAGTGGTTAGAGTGCGAATTTACTGACCGGAAGGTTCGAACCCGACCTCTGCCACTCGACTTCCTCTGTCTAGGCTTGGGCGACCTGGCAGTATCCCAGCCATCGTGCCTCCTTCGCGTGGCATGGCAGCTAGGTACCGAAAGGGTGCTACAGCTGAACGATTTATTATTATTTATTATTAACTTACATTAGTTTCTCGCATTATGAGAGCTGCATACTTGAGTCGGCGGTTTGCTGAAGAACGTGGTAAAACACCTTCCCGTCGTCCGATTTTTTGTCGGACTACTGTTGCGTTTATCGACCACGTTTACCATACTCGTAACCAAATCCTTCAGCGTTTGAGACTCTGATTTGAAACCGGCTTCGCCGTTTTTTTTGTTTGTTCACCGTAACTAGAAAATCGCTGCAGTCAGTTCGGTCTCGTTGGCGTTGAAACAGAGTGAACGATTTCGTGCAATCTTGGAACTCGTTCTGGCTTTCGGCAATTACATCAACAGTTCGCGACGTGGTATTGCCTACGGTTTCCGGTTGCAGAGTCTTGACGTGGTGAGTGTGACCCAGTCAATTTTTATTTCCACCTGGGAAATAACTACTTTACTGTGGAAGACCTCTTTTATTCGTTTTTTATCATTCATCAGGATGCATCGGTTTTGCTTGCTCTTTCGCTCTTTGCCTGTTGTGTGACACATAGAAGAGACGGATAGGAGTCTTCTGGTTTTTGTCCTATCTGTTTTCGAATACCTTTGCTAGTTTTTCACCGAATCGAGACTTCGAAGTTCAATGTGAGGTATGTAATCGGCGGACGGATCGTGCAATGATTGTAAAAATAGCTTAATACGACAGTTTTTGTACCAGCATGCTCATATGATTCCATCGAGCGTCAACTGCAATGACAATGCATTTGTTTGAGAAACTATAAAACCGTTGGTGTGCAGCTGCAACCTTAGTAAATCGCTCTAAACCCCGTAGGTCCGTGTTCGGACGTTGACCGCGTATCATTCAAACATCCAGGTCAAACTGCATATATGCACAGTCTGTAGAACTCCATACTCTACGCCAATTCATCATCATCACTGTCAGTTGTAATAACCGCATACTCGTCGTACAGTGGTTGTAGCTGCCACAGTTTCATTCACCGATGATTCGAGGAGGTGGGGTAGGTAGCTGCGCATTGGAGGCGGGAGCTGAT